TGTAATGCCTTGGGTCTGCCCGTGTTTTGGCTCCAGCTCACCGAAATGACTTCCGAATGCCCCGAAACTCGCGGTTAGCCTTCCCTTTAACGCCTGGGACCTGAAACATGACAAAATAGCACAACCCGACGTAAAATAGGCCAAAACACACGACTATACTCCTCAAACGGATAAGAACTAGGGGCGCAAACATGTGCATTTACATCGTTATCACTGGTCCAAGCGAGAGTTGGAGAAGCTGAACTGCTACGAGCACTTCTCCTCCATTGTCACCAACCGCCCCTGGCACCGCCTACTCTGCATTCGCGAGAAGGTTTACCACGAGCTCGTGCTTGAGTTCTACACGACCTTCAAGCACGCAGACACGGAGGATTGGAAGGACGGAGAAGCCGTCAAGTTCAGGCTCGGCGGTGCGGCCCGATCCATGAGCTACCACGAGCTGGCGACCGCCCTCGGCCTCGGCCTGGTCGATGACAGGGACTACATCACCGAGCTCACAGAGCCAGAGGGGGTAGACTTCAGGACACTGTACACGCGCCTCGCTCGGCCAGGCCAGCGTCCCTTCTCGGCGGGGAAGACGAAGGCCAGCACATTGCAGCTCGACAACCGCATTCTCCATCACCTGCTGGCCAAGTCTTACACTCCAGCCTCGGACAGTGCCAGCGCCATCACCAAGAGAGCCATGTACTTCATTCAGTCTATGCGCCAGAGGGATCATCCCCTCCACTTGGGTTCGGTGGTGGCAAGGACCTTAGACAAGAGTGCTTCCGAGCTGAAGAAACTCCACTGCACTCCCCTCATCACCCTCCTGGCCACTTACTTCCAGATATCACTGCAGGGGGGCACAGAGCAGGAAGACACCAGTGCCTTTGACGAGTTTACGATCGGTAAAATGCACCTGCTTCGAGAAGAGCGAGGTGTTAAGTGGATCGAGGGGTTTCCTCAACCTCAGATCCCAGAGGAGGTCCAGCCGGAGGTTCCCGAAGGTGTGGCTGATGAGGATGTCCACCCGGAGGATGTGGATGATACTGCTGCCGCCCGCCCCACCACCTTCGAGTACGAGGGTGGTAGTTCCACTTTCCCTAGCCAGGACTACTTCACTCAGCAGTTCGAGCAGCTGTGTCTCTAGAATCAGCAGCTCTACGACCATCAGCTCCTGTTTCAGCAGCAGTATTCGGCTCACCATACCGAGTACCAAACCTGGTTGGCTGCGTATGATGAGCGCCTTGATCGGATGGAGACCCAGCAGGGGTTGACCCTAGCTCGCATAGAGAGAGAGAGAGCAGGCCCGTTCTCGGCGCATGCAGGAGGTCCAGCAGCACATGCTCCAGCTGCTACCAGGTGCACAGCCAGTCTGGAGGACTCCCTGGGAGGACTCTCCACTTCCACCTCCACCAGCTGATGATGATGATGCATTCATGAATGACATCGACTTCGATAACCTTGGCGACGAGTAGGCTGTACTTGTCGCCCTTCTGTGTGTGTTTTTGTTTTAGACTTTTTCTGTTTGCTCCATGTGTTTGAGGAGCTTGAACTGAGTTTGTCGTGTGTTTTGTTTCTTTTCTTTTGTGGATTGTTTCTTTTGTGGCCATCTGGGCCAACTCTGATCCCTCACGAACATGTGCTAGTGTGTTTTTTATGTTCCCTTAGTGCAGAAATGCCCGTTTGTTCCATATGTCCCCCGCTGACGGGTCCACTTCTAGTCCTCTGCAGTATTTCAATCCGGTAACATCGTTCCCCTTATCTCTCCCTCTGCTCCATTGAGGGCAATGTCGCGCTTAAGTGTGGGGGGGTGCTTTGTATCGGTTGGAATTTATATACATGTGCTTGGGGCCTAGTCCACTGTCCAAATCTTGAGATTTGAGGGCTCCAAGTACGGCTGTTTGATCATATTGGCACTGTGTTTTGATTGGTGAATTGAATGGTTTTCGTATTAATGCATGACAACTGGATGGTGACTAGGACAACCTATAATGATGACTGCGACGTGCAGTAGAATTGTGTAGGGTTCAGTCTTTCAACTGTTTGCTTACCAACTGTGACTTGGATTGATTACTTGTTCTTGACAGTCTCTTATGCATCTAGTTCAGGGAATCAGAATGAGAGATAGAGCATATAGGTAGCCATGTGAGATTTGAGCCTGCTCGTTTATTTCTTGTGCGATAGATCTCTCTTCCATGATGTGTAGCATTCACGTTGTCATTAGCTAAGATGATGGAGGCATAGGATTAGCCCACGACCAAATTGACTATCCTGGTGTATCATACCCCCTAGTCAGCCCCTTTGAGCCGTGTGTTATCCTTTCTTTCGGTCTTAATGAAAAATCACCCTTTTGCATCTTTTAGAAGGTTCCACAGAGTGGTTTTTGCATGTTCTCTGCTGTTTCTGCTAAACATCATGTCAGAGTTGGAGGTAGTTCTTAAAAAGTTGGGCAGGTGTTTGAAAAATGTGCAAAGATGGTGGTTCTCTTAAGAAATGAAAAAAAAAAATGAAAGAAAAACAAAGGAAAAAAAAATGAAAGCAAAAGAGAGCCACCATCAACAATCTAAATAGTGCCCTTTAAGTAGTGTTTCTTAGCAGTCTGGCTTAGAAATACTAGCATTTATGTGACTTCCTTCGTTCTTGTGCTATGAAGAATTTGAGTAATGCAGAATAGCAGAAAGAAAGTACTGGTTTGATTGACTGTGAGTTTGTTGGGTTGGGAAATGTGGAACCTTGTGCTATGAATACTTCCACCACCAAAAGGCCTTTTCCCCATGTCCAAGACCCTAGCCATTCGTTTGAACCTGTGTCTAAGACCTCTGGATTAGTTAGTGATGACAACCATTTATGTGAACTCTAACATTTAGAGGTTGTCGTCATGGTGAAGAGATGTTAGGAATTGAGAGAATAAGTATGCGCATTTTTCGCATCAAATTGTCCTGACCCCACTGGTCGAGAGTGATCGATTCATTTCCTTGTTCTTTACACTCTTTACGCGGTGAGGACCTAGATGGCTCGGTCTTGATTCTGATGTCTTGAGTTTTATGCATGAGTTGACTATCTTGAGTAAGTGGTTGAGTCAAGTCTAGGTTGGTTGATGAACAGAAGGGAGACTCCTCCTTTATTCGATTTTGCTGCACTCGAATGTCTTCTGTGGTGGTTGTCCAGGTTGCTATTGAGGTTGTTCATGTGTTGATGTTTGAAAGCCAGTATGATTCACGTGTTTCTGTGCCTATATGATTTGTCCCCAATGTTGGTATGGTTGAAATATGTAAGCTTACCTTGTGTCTGACTTGGTTTGCTTGGGGGCAAGCAAACGGTTAAGTGTGGGGGAGTTTGATAAACCGTTAATTGCACATGTTTTTACCCCTATTATGGACCCGTTTGAGGGGTTGATTCTCGTGTTTTAGGCCGATTTCACTCTAGGTTGTGCTTGTTTGTGATATTTAAGGTCCTAGTACGTGAATGAAGGTTTGGGAGCAAGTTCGGGGTCGATTGGACGAAGATCGGACGCGTGGCGAGTCGCTGAGGAAGTCACACGGGCACACACAAAACCCACACGGCCGTGCAAGTAATCAATGTGGCCGTGTGGGATTGTGCGAGCCTTCACACGGGCAGGAATAAATCCCACACGGCCGTGTCATGAACCAAAGTGGCCGTGTGGAATTCTGCGAGGCTTCACACGGGCAGACTGGAGGCTCCAACACGGCCGTGTGCCGCTGGCCGTGTAGGAAGCCTGAAACCCACATAATCGGAACGCGGCAATTTGTGTCTCACACGGGCAACTGGGTATGCCACACGGGCATGTGGCCTGCCTGTGTGAGTCGGAATTTTCTGGTTTTAAGCCAATTTCCAGCCACATGTGGGGGGGATTCGAGTTTTAGAGAGACAGAGCGATTCCTAGAGAGAGAAAGCGGCGAACAAGAGTTCCCAAGTGCCTTAGCTTGATCTTCATCACCATTGGAGCTTGGCTTGAGCCTGGAGTAGTGCCGATCGACGCCCAGGAGCAGAAATCCATCCTTCACAGTATGGTTTCCGCATCTGAATCTGCTTTTGCTTCTTTCTCCTTGGAGTAGTTCTCCCACTCATCTGGGTATGGGAAACCCTAGATTTGTATGTTAGGTTTGATTGTATGAACCCAAGTACAGATTCTATGTTTTGATTATATTCGAATGAGGTTTGAATGATTGAATGGCATGAATCCTGATCAAATTCCTGTTGTTTCTGCTTTAACCTAGAAAGAGAATATCTGCCTAGGTTGATAGAGCACCCTTTATTGAAGGTAGTGAATTGGCGACTTTAGTCGAGGAGCCAATTCACTATTCTGTACTGAATTTACTTCGGTAGTGGAGGTTTTGTTCGTTAGGGCCTCAATCTGTTTACTCCGGTGGAGGTTAGTCGCCCGCTAGAGACTCAGATTGAGAGGGTCAGGAGACCTTTAGTCGAGACTTCAGACTGTTTAAGAACCTTCCGCAGTATAACTATCATAGAAATTGAACTTGGTAAATTGCAATCCCGCTTAACTGCAGTCTAGGGGGAACCATATCCGGGTGACCTCTCTCGACTTGAAAACAACCGTTTTTGTTTGTTTGTTAATTTGGACTTGCACTAAAGTTTCATTGCTAGATAACAAGAATTCACCGAGTAGTCATCAAATCTAGGACCCGTGTTGACATTAAAACCCAAACTAGCTATACTACACTTTAGGAAGTGGTTACTCTTGGCCAATTTCTAGAATGACAGTAGGAGTGAGTCAATAACCCACCCTTGACTGACTGCTAGAGCTATGAGAACTCTGACCGTGACAATCTTTGCAACAGGAGCGAAGGTTTCGTGGAAGTCTATTCCTTCCAACTGAGTGAACCCTTTCGCTACCAGCCGTGCCTTGAATCGTTACACCGACCCATCCGGGTTGTACTTAACCTTGAACACCCACTTTACGCCAATTACTCTCTTGTTTGCCGGCAGTTGAGTCAGAAACCATGTTCCATTTGCCTCGAGAGCCGCTATTTCCTTCCTCACGGCCTCTCTCCATGAGGGTCCTTCATCGCCTCCAAGAATGATCTAGGCCCTTCGATCTTATTTATGGCTTCTAGGTAAGCCTTGTGTTCTGGGGAGAACCGATGATAGCTTACTTGGTTTGACATGGGATACTGCACTCTAGAGTTCTTCGTTGCATGCCCAGCAAACTCGGTGTCATAGGTCTCCAGTAGCTCCCTCAGCCGACGTCTCTCTCGGCTCCCGCGACGCAGAGTCACCTCGTGATGCTCTTCTAGGCTGTCGCCCACATCGTCCACGTTGGCCTCATCTTCTTGTTCGGTTCCACCCTCATGTACGTCCATTTCACCATCTTGTGAAATGTTCACATGTGGAACATCCTCATTGTGTGTGGGACGCATGTCCCCATCATCACTAGCCACGTCTGCATGCATGGGTGGTTGAACTACCACTGTTGGACCTGCCTCTTCACCCTTCCTATCGTCCTCGTAGGGGAAGCTTTCTTCAACAAAATGACAATCACGAGAGGTAATGATTCGGCGGGATTGGAAGTCGTATACTCTATAACCCTTCTGGGAAGCTGGGTATCCCACGAACACACCTCGTCTCCCCCTCTCGACAAACTTGTCAAGGCTGTGGCTTGTTTCCTTTGTATAGACAAGATAACCAAAGTTGCGGAGATGCCGATATGTCGGATTTCTCCCTAGCAGGATCTCGAAAAGGGGTCTTTCCTCCAATCACTTTCGAAGGAAGACATTTAATAAGGTAGGTTGCTGTCAGCACACACTCTCCCCAAAACCGCACAGGAAGTCCCGAATGAAACCGAAGCGCCCGAGTCGTTTGAAGAATAATTCCCTGCTGCTCATAATATTCTAACAGACTGCCGGACTGGAACTCGAGTCCATTGTCCGCTTGAATCCTGCGAACATGCCCTGTAAACTGTGTCTGAACCATCTGACGGAAAAGACGAATGTAGCGCTCAACATCGGATTTAAACTTGAGTAAATACTCCCAAGTAGCTTGACTGAAGTCATCCACAATCGTCAAGAAATAACGAGACCCATCCATAGCCGGGGTTCAATAACCACCCCAAATATCCATGTGAATAATCTCAAAACTGGCATGAGTTTTTATCGAATGAGAAACAAAAGGCTCTCTAGTGAGTTTAGCACGAATGCAAGAATCACAATGTTGTTTTCGACTAGTCTGATCCAACAAAGATAAACTGTTCCTCAGAAAATGAAAATTCTCAACAGATGGATGTCCCAACCGTGCGTGCCACATCTCCATGGACTCCTTTCCTGCTGCGCCCACGAAAGCACCAGTGGCATTCACATTTCGCCGCCCCTGTCCTTCCATGTGCTGAAAGCAATAGAGCCCATTACGAAGACGACCCATCCCAATCGTAGTCCTGGAGCGTGAGTCCTGGATGAGGCACAAATCACCCGTAAAAACCAAGTTTACGTGATTATCTTTGGTTAGGTGACTAACTGAAAGTAAGTTGCACTTGAATGTAGGGACATGCAGTACTCGACCCAAGTGAAGATGCTTATTCAAATCAACTGAACCAACTCCCTGTACAGGCACGGTCGTTCCATCCGGGATGCAAACCGGGGGATGGCAACTAGTGTTGTCGACCTGACTTAACCAACTAATATCACGTACTATGTGCTCGTTACAACCAGAATCGATGAGCCACTCATACAGTTTAGGGGAGTTACCAGCCATGTGTGCGATTGGTTCTGAAGTAGGTGGTGCGGGCGGGGTCAGCAGTTGCTTTAACTGGGCGAACTGAGCTGCGGAGATGCCAGGGATCAGACTTTCCTCGAGCTCGACGTTGGCAGCGCGTGGCTGCTGTGTTTTGCCGTCGCCTTTGCCTCCTCGACGTGAGGTTTGGGTACCTCCACGTTCACCTTGTCTGCTCTTTCCATGCTCACCTGGATAGCCAATCAATTTATAGCCAACTTCCTTGAGGTGACCGAGCTTATTACAGTGGCTGCACCTTGGTATTTCCTCAGCCTCCTTATCTTGTCGACTTAGGAATGTAGCGGCCTCCACGGACGGTTTTCTTCCGCCTGTTATGTGTCGTTGTTGCTCTTCGGAACCCACAAGTTGGTACGCCTCTGTCAAGGATGGAGTAGGTTTGGCGCTCAAAATCTGTGAACGGACCACGCCGAATGCTTTGTCGAGCCCTAATAAAAAATTGAACAGCCGTTCGGTTTCTTCTTTCTCCCTGACTTGGCGCGCGATGTCACAGGTGCAATTCCCACATGAGCAACGAGGGTTAAGAGAGACGGAGTGAAGCTCGTCCCAATAAGTCACCAGCTTTGTGTAGAAAGCTGACACAGAGAGTTTTTCTTGACGCAACGACCCGATGGAACGGCGCGGCTCGTAAGCTCGCGTTGTCGAGCCTTTGCCGAACCTTTGCTTGAGATCAGCCCATATTGCGCTCGCCGTTCGTGCGGCCCTGACGCTATTTCGGACCTCCTTGCTCACGGCTGTTTTAAGCCAGCCTTTTACCGTGGCATCACATCTTCCCCAAGCTTCGTCCCTGATGCCTGGTCCTGCTTTCGAGTGAGGGAAGCTCTCGTCCACAAGCACTAGCTTATTCTTTGCAATTAGAGTTTCAGACATATCACTCACCCATTCGCTGTAGTTCGAATCGGTCAAGAGATCACTTCCAAATAATTGGCCTGGATTCTCTGACGGATGTAGATAGTGTGGCGACGTAAGCGGGATGACCTCAGCGTCGGTGACGTCGCCCTTACCACCCGAACTGCCATCTTCTCCGATAGTCATTGTTGCAGTCTCTGAAACGGATCACTACTCTGATACCATGTAAAATAACTTAAACGCGGAAGCAAACGACATAAAGATTTAACGTGGTTTCCCCGTTCGATGTGAATGAGACTATTCCACGGAGAGCAAAAGCTCTCAGCTGACTTCTTATTAGTACGCAGCTCGAAGACTGCTCTCTCTTCTTTTGTCACGAAGTTACATCGGCTGACATAAGACTACAACCTTATATACCATCTACGCAGGTATTAGGGTTCACAAGGGAAATAACAACAAGGTCCTCCAACAAACTAATATGTACAATATGGTCCAGTTCAACATATTAACTAAACAATATGACACCTACAAATTATAATATAAGATAAATTAATGTTGAACATTTGATTATTTATTTATCGTTACATCACTCACATGTACCATACACGACATACAAAACGAATGTATCAAATACGATCTAAGAATTTAGTAAACAAGCTTAGCTCGAACTCGACTCGGCTCGTTAATAAATGGCCCGAGCTCGAGCTCAGCTCATTTGTTAACGAGTCAAGCTCAAATTTGAGTAAAACTCGACTCAACTCGACTCATTTGCAGCCCTAATTAAGACTCCAATCACGCTAAGATCTTCACAAGTCATGTTGCATATTTGAACATAGCGATCATTGGCATCAATAATTATGTGTCTAGGAAAAAAAGAGATGCAATGAGAGAAACATCACGTTTGAACGGTGATTACATTAGATTAAGCAGACGCGTGTACGTAGTAGTTCAAAGAATAAGAAGAACTATTGTTGTTAGAAACATGATAGTTATATTTCGTAGTACACCTTTCTCTCCAAACATGAAGTTAATAAACCACAATCTCATTTTCTACTTGTCATCTAAGTCGCCTTTTTTTAGCTAAGAACAATTGTGCTCGTCATGGGCCACATTTATGTGAAAATATAACGTTTATTTGATAGTTCAAACTTAGAAGGACAATTTAGTCTTTTCTAATCATATTTAAAACTTAAAAATTATTTTTTCAACCAACTGTAGCCCTCCACGTGTCATTCTCTATCTTTTTTCCTATGTGTGAACTGTGATTTTAAAAGGCTCATATCTTCTTCATTTCAACTCCAATTTTAACTTTCGTTGCACAAAAAATCCAATCTAACGAGATCTATAGAAGGATATATACTTTTGTGTATTTTTTAAGGAAAAAAAAAACATCATCAATGACGTACTCATATGCAAGTGATTCTTTGTGTACCATAATGATACATCAACCATTTGCATTTGATCAAATGTTGTTTGATTAACTTTACTAACTATTTTGATTCCTTAAAGGTTATTAGTAAATTTGGTTTAAGTGGCTAGAGTCTTTCATAGACTCTACTGACAAGGATAACCAGTCGAGCAAATTTCCTTCATATAGCAAAGGAGCATAGGCGCAATGCCTCCTGAGTCCTGACATGTGCAATATACAAAAAATTATATGAATTGGTAAGACGGATCCTAAATGATTAATTTCATTCGATGTAGTAAAGAGACTTAAATCAGTATAATCATATGAATTTTATAATTACACATCAATGTGATGTGGAATGAGAGGTTTAGCTGGGAATAACAGAAAATCAAATTGCACACATAATAGCTAAAATATAAAATATAAATAGTATGCTTAAGAGTTATGGACATATAGACAATATATATTTTTCTCATACCATATTTTCGAATTCATTGCATGCATGGTTTAACTAACAATCTAGGTAAATTGTGGCAAAGTTGTTAATAACATTAATTTTTTACGAGAGGTTGAACTATTATGTATCATTTGAAAAATAATAAAATATTGAAAACTTATAAAGAACTAATATTTTAAGTGAGTGTTTGTTGGTATATTATCAAGTTGATTATCGTTTATGAAATAATTTCTATTGGTCGCCCCTAAAAAAATTTATTCATCACACTAAGTTACATTTACTTGAATGCCCTTAGTTAGAACCCCAAATTGGAGTAGAAGCCCTTAAAAGTTAAAACCCCTGACACATAGTGGCCGCCCTTTACCCAATCAAAACTGAACCTCTACTCGCCCGGGAAAAAAGTAACCACTGCCGGATCATCTTGTATTGGTCGGCGTCTGAAGAAGAGAAGTCTGAGCTCTTATTCTCCGATGTAAGAGAGTGGTATAAGATGCAGCATAATCTTCTACCAACAACTCGAGTTATTGGGAGCAACTGGTTCTTGACATGATATTAGAGTCTTCTATGACCGAGAGGTCTTGTGTTCGATTCCCGGTGACCCCCATTTGTTAAGCACATGGTATTCAGACCTGTGCGAACTTCAAGTCCTTCTGAGTGACTTTCGTTTGAGAAGGCGTGTTAGTGTGTGGTATATGATCCACGATTGAACCTCTCCCAACAACTCGAGTTATTGGGACCAACTGGTTTATGATATGGTATCAGAGCTGGTTTGACCAAGTGGTCGTGTGTTCAAATCTCCACGACTCCCAATATTAACAGTCGATTAAAGCACAAGGTATGATGGGCCTGTACAAACTTCAAGCCCATGAGTTGGCTTTCATTTGAGGGGGCGTGTAAGAGAGTTGTATAAGATCCAGCATAACCTTCTTCCAACAACTCGAATTATTGGGATCAAC